CAGCCTGGGCGACAGAGCGAGACTCCCTCTCAAAACAAAAAAAAAGAGAAAAGTGGTAGGGGAGGGAATGAAAGAGGGAGAATGAGCAAGAAAATTCACTCACACATGTAAGTGTGAATGCCCTTGAAAAACTCAAAGATAGCTTCTAAAGTATTTCCTGTCCTTTTTCGATCCACTGAAATCATGCTTCACAGAGTGGAGTGGCTCTGGACTATGAGGCACTCTAATATTTCCTGCATCACGACACTTTATTTTATTTGTTTATAACCTTGGTCAAGGAATTGGCGTTTCTTGGGCTGAACACACTGTAACTTACCATTCCCTTCCGAGGAAGCTGCTGTCATTTTTCCAGAAACAAAAGAAGTTTCAAAACCAAACAAAAAACACCTGCTCAGCTTAGTTACATTTAGCTTAACATACATTCGCAAACTGGTGTTATATACACAAAATATACAATGAGCTCTCACAAGCAAAATCTGCTTTGACTGCCCCAGAAAAATAACGTTATCTTTGAACTGACCTTCGACTCATCAAGTAGTAACAGCAAGGCTCACTGTATATTTTCTCCACTGCCTTTCCATTCGCAATGGCATATGTGGTGTGTGTGGCATAGGGCGTTCACATACACATAGCTCCACAAAGCCTGCCATATGCACTGAGGCTAACTTCATTTTTACACCACCAGAATTCAGTTAAGAGTGGAGATAAAAGCAAATACAGGTCGCTGTTCAGATCAGGTAGTAGAAAGAACATCTAATTGCGGGAAGGCAGATGCAATAGGGAGTCAACTGATGAGGAAGAATATTCCTCCCCTAACCCCTCAGTATGTAGTTCGACATCCAAAAAATACCAGAAATGGCTATGAGTTACTGCTTATTGGAGGCATGGTATCTCTCTGTCTGAAATAATGTACCACATTTCTCAAATATTATTCTATCCTAGAGATACTGTTGAAACTGACTTTAAATCAGAACATCTTAGTAGAGCTGGGAGAAGTCAGGTAGTGAGCTCAACCCCATTCTGCAGATTGGAAAACTGGGACCCAGAGGAGTTAAGTGAATGATGCAAGGTGTAGCTCCAGCCAACAGCTGGGCCGGGGGAAGACTTAGCTTCCTTTCACGTTCTGATGTATTTACCACTACACTGTGTCCAACTCAGGCAACAGGAACAACATGAACACTTGTTACCCTGAGGACCATGGCAAATAGTATTCAACATCTAGGGAGTGTCCTGTCTTCCATTCATTACATTGTAATTTTGACCCTATCCCATCTGGCTCAGAAATAATTGGCATATGATAACAATAGAAATGAAACAAAAGACTTTGCCTCTACAGACTAACCGGACCAGCAAGGAAGAGGCCCACCTTCTGAAAATGACCATCCTTTGTCAAGAAACAAACACCCCCTTTTCCTCATTCGGTGATGTGAATGAACAAAATGTCAGGTTAGTTTGTTAGTAGGTAGGTTTTGAAATGCCATTTTCTGTTATCTCATCTTTTTCCAAATGTAAACCCAAGGACCTTCAGCATTCATTCATTACCAGAGGTTTGAGATGTCTTTGCCATTTCTGCTCATCCAGGATCCAAGTCCTGGTATCAGAGTCATTTCCATTCCTTTAGGATCGTTCCCTGACAATCTGGTTCAGTCCTGAGCCATTGAATCTACCCTAATTTGAAGATCGGGCCAGGAGCTGTGGCTCATGCCTGTAATCCCAGCACTCTGAGAGGACAAGGCAGGTGGATCACTTGAGGTCAGGAGTTCGAGACCAGCCTGGCCAACATGGCGAAACTCCACATCTCTACTAAAAATACAAAAATTAGTTGGGTGTGGTGACATGTGCCTGCCTGTAGCTCCAACTATTTGGGAGGCTGAGGCAGGAGAATTGCTTGAACCTGGGAGGCGGAGGTCACCGAGAGCTGAGATCATGCCACTGCACTCCAGTTGGGCAACAGAGTGAGACTCCATCTCAAAAAATTAAAAAAAAAAAAAAAAGATAGTATGGAATCTGTCTGGGATTTATTGACTTTCTGTAGGTAGGTGAGTCAAAGAAGGGGCTGTGATACCTGTCAGAAGACCTGCAGAGGCAACTTAAGATAAGCTAGCTCTCCCAGAAAGGTGGATGTGAAAAAACCCAACCTCATCTACATCATATGACAGTAGATGTGTTTACCAAAAGACAAATGCAAAATGAATTTTGGAAAATCAAATAAAACTAAAGTACAAAGGATCCCTCTGCAGCAAAGATTCCTCATGAAGATGATTGCTCTATTTTGTGTGTACGTAATTTTGTCTGTCAAACTTCATCAAGTAATGCATACTAAAAGTGTATAGAGTATATTATAAACTCTAACAGTCAACTTCTGCATGTTGGAAGAAATGTGCCAACATAAATAAAGGCAACAGAAAGCTCAGAATGATTGCAACTGACCAGAGTTAGCTATGCTTGCTGGAGCTCCAGGTGCTAAAGTTTTCGTTTTCGGTGTCATACCAGCCCCTTGTCTGCAGCTTATATATGAGACCTCCATCCCAAATGGTTATTTGGAAAGATGCCCAAGGGCTTTGTTACAAACCCATGATTCTCATCTTTCCAGAGCTGACTTTTACTTCTGAGGGTCCCCATGCACACTCCACCTTGATGTTCCTCAAGGGCAGCACTGTACCAGCAATGAGAGAGATGCACATCTCAGGTATTACATGTCACTCACACTTGACATATAAAATCAACCCTCATTGAGGCACATTTCTCGGGGATACGGAGTCAAGGGTAAGAAACATCACATTTAAGTAGGCTTTGATTTTGAATGTACACTTGGAGTATGTCTGAGAAGTCTCTTAAATCAAAATAAAGAAGCCTCCGTGTGCAGAGCTGACGTAAGAGGAGCTGGGAGGCTAAGTTGTGCCACTTGTATTCCTGCTATGCTCTCTCTCTAGGTTACTCCTTCTTCAGACAGAGGTCTGATATGCCCTTTCTCAAACATCTCCTTAAGGAAATGGACAAATGTTTGGCTTTCTGAGTACAATTGTCATGAAAAAGAAACAGAAGGCATTAAGAGATCAACACAGCTGAAATACAACAGGTATTGAATATTACAGATAGGAGGAAAACAAGCATGATGTAAGAGTACGTGCTGTCAAAATCTACAAAGCAAGGTAATTTTTTCCTAGCTATCAAAAGGTGGCTCTAGGCATGTGTATTTCTGTATCCTCACTACACGGGAAGTAGTTCTATTTTAAAACCACTAACAGCAGCTTTTGTTTTGGAGACCTCTCAAATGCCTTAGGCAAGTCGTGAAACTTAAGCTTTTTGACATACAAGCAGCTATTTATTCATAAAATGTGATGACCACGCTTATTTGAGAGCAGTTTCTTCTGGCTCGTTCTCAAAGAAACAGCAGCAGAGACTGTTGGTTATATAGTTTGACCTAAATGCAGCACAGTGTTAATCCCCAGAAAATATGAAATAGATCCAAGTCATGGCTGAGGTTAAGGTTGAAGAGTTTTTGGAATTGATTTCTAAGGACTTACTTTTGACATCTTGCTTTTGCTGTCTCCAGTTAAAAATGCCAAATTATTAATTTCATTCTGAATCACAAAATTTTGCTCTTCCCTCTTGAAGTTCTAAGTGGGAAAGAATTGAAAAACCAAACATTACAAGAAAGTTCTGTAAACCAAAAATAAGATTCTAAGCTCCCCATGTAATTGAATAGACCCCTCCTCTCAGCCAAGCTGATTCCAAAGACACCTGATTCATCCGTGATGGGAAGAGGGGGTCAGGCATGTCTCACTATACCCTCTCCCTTTTAGAGTTTAGGCATATGACCAGCATTAACATTAAAATAGAGATCTTAAGACTGACAGAATCCTCTTGGTAGCAATAAGACACCAAATTCCAACCTGACTCTAGTATAGCATCACCAGACAGACAGTAGGCCCTGAAGGAAATAAAAATATTTTACCCCAAAATATATTTATTTGACATATTTTGAAAACGCTCTGCATAGCTGTCTCTCCTGTGGGGAAAATTCACATTCTATAAAGAATACCCTTCCCTTTCCAGGTCTTTTCCTGATCTTCAAGAGATTAAATGAGAGTCTAGCACCTTGGAAATGTCTGAATATGAAACATTTGTCAGCTGTTGTCTCTATGGGTAGCCACGCAGGAGACTTCATCTACATAATAAGAATGTTGGGCTCCACAATCCTTTGTCTTAACTCAGACACTGTTTGTATTGATTCCAGGTTTTTAGATAATAACTCTTTCTGATTGACAACTGTCAATCAGAAAATCTTTGAATCCACCTATGACCCGGACGCCCACTACCTACTCCTGTTAAGATGTCTTGCCTTTCCGGGCTGAACCAAGGTATACTTTACATTTATTGATTTACACCTCTGTCAGTAACTTCTGTCCCGCTGCAGTGTATAAAGTCAAGCTGTAACCCAACCATCTTGGGCGCATGTTCTCAGGACCTCCTGAGGCAGGGTCATGGGTCATGGTCCTCACATATGGCTCAGAATACATCTCTTCGAATATTTTACAGCATTTGACTTTTTATCATCAACAGTTTTCCAAGGTCTGCAGCTTTCACAGCCATTCTAAACCCAGGGCCCAAATGTGTTCTTACGTGAGATTTACACCACAGGATGAAGACTTCTGCCACCATGCGGAAGAGCTGGTCAGAATCAGCATCAGGGCTTTTCAGCCAGTTAGATCTGGGTCCAAAAGTAAATGAATAGGCATTTGAAAATCAGTAGGGATTAAAGTATTCACACCCTGAAAATTATACCAACACTGGCGACAAGCATTTATCCAGATCATACTGCATTCTCATATGAAAACAATAATCAGGGAGACTAAATAGCAATATATTCCTTAAACATTTAGATATAGGCACATAATGACAGTAGATTTCTTGAAGGATCTACGATAATTATTTCCATCTGCCAAAGGATTCAAGAATTACCTTCGCAAACTGATGTCAGATATCAACATTTCAAAATGGTCAAAAGTAGGTTATGTTTTTTCTTTAAACTGATTAGTAGATTAAGGTTAAGCTCTAAGTTTTGGGAGATGCTTCCCTTAATATATAAGGCTAGCAAAGGTAGGCAAGTCTTGGTCGCTATGACATCTAACCTTGTCCTTGACATTTGTCATTGTCAAACCTCTGAAATTCTGAGCACTCTCAACAGTTCACGTCTCACTCCTTTTCCTTTAAAGCCAGTTTTGTCAATGAAATTTTGTAAGATAGTATGTTTTTCACTGTGATTTGAAGTGTATAAGCAGAGATCAATTATCCTTATCTATGCCCTCTAAAATGGTTTGAAGATTCCCTATAAATAAGCATTATTCATAAAAAAAAATAGACTAGTTAAGAAATTTTGCAGTAGCACCAAGAAGGCTGAACTGCAGTTTCAGGAATTCAGTCCTTTCTATAAGCTGTCTCGCAGTGAAGTAGCTTACATATTCAAATTAAATTATACTTCCAAGGGCTGGGTAAGTTGCCATTTTCAAATGTCTACAGAGACATGAAACTAACTGAAACAAACACACAAAAAAACCCCCCCACTGTTTCTCTGCTCAGCACTTCTGACATCAAACATGTGGGGTTTTTCTCACATAAAACAATTCTTCAACTCTTCAGACACTGACTGAATGACCTACACTTCAAATATGACACTAACTACCTGGAGTTAGTGCAGACCCCACAGGCTAAGGGCTCAGACCCACAAGCCTGCCCCTCACTTCAGATGCCGGTCTCAAGTCCCAGGTTGTGACCTGTACTTCTGACCAATTGGCTACAACCAACCCCTTCACTGGGTTCAATAATTTGCTAGAGCAGCTCACAGAACTCAGGAAAATACTGGATTTACTATTACCAGTTTATTATAAAGGACACAACCAAGGAATAGCCGAATGAAAGAAATGTATAGGACAAGGTATGGGGGAAGAGGCAGGGAGCTTTCATGCCTTCTCCAGACACACCACCTTCCCAAAACCTTCGTGTGTTCAGCAACGTGGACGTCTCCAAACCCCATAGCTTAGGGTTTTGTTCTGTGGTGGCTCCATTATCTAGGCATGATTGGTGAAACCACTGGCCACTGGTTATTAAACTCAATATGCAGCCCCTCTCCTCTCCCCAGAGGTTAGGGGAGGGTAAATGGTGGTGGGGCTCAGGGTCCCAACCCTCTAACTGCAGAGCTGGTACATCTGGCAGCCAGTCTCCATTCTCCAAGAGTCACCTCATTAGAATAAACTCAGGTATGGTCGAAAGGGGCTTATTATGAATAACAGAAGATGCTCCTTTCACCCCTTTCCCTCAGGAAATTCCATGAGTTTTAGGAGCTCTGTGCCAGGAAGCAGGGATGAAGAGCAAATACGTATTTATTATATCGCAATATCAGAGTGACACAAGTTAAACTATTGTCTTTCTTAAGGTAAAAAAATTTGCGCCTGAAAATGGTCTGAAAAGCCTGATGCCTCTTGCCCCATGTAGGGTAACAGCTACCAAAAGCCAGTTCCCTAAGCTCTAGGACATCAGACTGAATTGTGGGTAGCCTGTACCTCCTACCCATTCGTGAGGAGCACCAGGCTAAGAAATATAAAGACTCATGAGGCCAAGATCACTTTGGGATCCTTCTCTTATCTCCTGAATTCCTTACTGCCCTTGGTTCCAGTCTCAGGGACATTCTTATCTAATCTCTCTTGTTTTCAGATTCAAGCAGCCCCTCCTTTATATAGCTGGCATTGCTGGTTGTCTGCCCAATACTCATTCTCCTCTTCTTCCATAGTAACAAACCCCATTTTGTTCAGGGTGGCACTGTGCCCTGCTAAAGATCACATTACCCAGCTTCCCTTGAGCTACAGCTATGTAACTAAGTTCTGATCAATACGATGAATGCAGAAGTTGTTGGATGGGCCTCCTGGAAATAAATCTCTAGGAAGGGATCAGATAGCTGAAGGTGCCTTTTGCCTTTCTCCTGTTGATTTCCTACTTCCTGTCTGGAATGAAAATATGATGGATGGAACTCTAATTGGCTAATTATATCATAAAGTAACTTCAAAGATGGAAGGCAATGTTGAGGATATGAAGACAAAGGAATGAGGCTGGGCATGGTGGCTCACACCTGTAATCCCAGCACTTTGAGAGGCCGAGGCGGGTGGATTACTTGAGGTCAGGAGTTCCAGACCAGCCCGGCCAATGCGGTGAAACCCTGTCTCTACTAAAAAAAAAAAATACAAAAATTAGCTGGGCAAGGTGGTGGGCACCTGTAATCCCAGCTACTCAGGAGGCTGAGGCAGGAGAGTCGCTTGAGCCCGGGAGGCAGAGGTTGCAGCGAGCACCGAGATTGTGCCATTGCACTCCAGCCTGGGCCACAGAGCCAGACTCGGTCTCGAAAAATAAATAAATAAAGACAAAGGAATGAGGCTTTCTAACAAGGAACAATATTGGCCCCAGCTGAGCTATCTTTGGACTTCTTTTCTGTGTGAGATTAAATTTCTCATTTGTTTAAGCCACTATAGCCAATTCTCCATTATAAGCAGCCAAATGCAATTCAAACTTGAGGCTTGAAGTTGGCAATGCTTTCTGATTTCTTTCCTATTGATTTTTCAGGGTCAAATGTCAAATTTTATCAGAACTACCAGCTGTTCACTCCTTAGTGTTTTGGTTTAAATGAGCTTCATAGGTTTTCGAGACGCCTTCAGTGGGAAAAGGTGAGGGTCATATCCTATCTAGCCAAGGAAAAGCACAGCCACAGGGACTGTGAGGAGCAAGAGCGTCAGGAACAAACTCTTGAGTAACTGTGGTTTCCTGGTGGGAGCAGGAAGAGGATTTTCATCTTCTTGCCTTCGTGTGAGAATGCAGTTTCAGCTGAACATATTTTTCTTTGGCCACCCCTCTTCTAAGAGGCAGATATTTGCTCTTTATCTCGACTGAGGTTCTTTCTTCAAGTTCAGAGTGATAAGTGCAATGAAAAACATCTCATTAAAGGTTTCCCCTAGGCACACAAGTCAAGGAAGGTGTTTGTGGGAGCACGGAAGGTCCTGACCCAGCTTTTCATATTCACTCATACCCTCTCTGCCCCCAATTAACGCTACAAGGTGCTTCTCCTGCTTGATCCCAGTCTCCTATGGGATCCACCATCTCTGTCAATATTTAGTCGCTTTTCTTGTAGATACCTAGCTGATCTGTGGGTCTCTTTTAACATCCGCACTGCTTGCCAAAAGGCAATTGGAAAACTCAAGGCTGTAGGCAGAGAAGGAGGCTGGGTTTAGAGGTAACCGTCAGAGAGTTTGCCATATCCCTCGAATAAGGCACATTGTCCTCATTAAGTAATTTCTCATCCCTCAGCTCCATCCAACCCTTCTGAATCTCCAGTGTCTATTATTCTACACTCTATGTCCATGTGGACACATTATTCAGCTCCCACTAAGTGAGAACATGTGGTATTTGATTTTGTTTCTGAGTTGTCTCATTTAAGATAATGGCCTCCAATCCATCCACATTACTACAAAAGACACGCTTTCATTCTTTTTAATCACTAAACAGTATTCCACTGTGTGTGTGTATGCGTATCCCACTTTTTTTTAAATGCAGGCATCCATTGATGGATGCTTGGGTTGATATCATCTCTCTGCTGTTGTGAATAGTGCTGCAATAAACATATGAGTGCAAATATCTACTCGATATAATGATTTCTTTTCCTTTGGGTAGATACCTAGCAGTGAGACTGCTGGATTGAATAGTAGTTCTATTTTTAGTTCTTTGAGAAATTTCCATACTATTTTCCAGAGAGGTTTTCGTATTGGGTGATGGTTACACTAAAAGTCCAGACTTTGCCACTAAGCAATGTATCTATGTAACAAAACTATACTTGTACCCCTTAACTTTATAACAACCACCAAAGCAGCAGCAGCAACCCAAGTGGATGAAATAACTGAGCACAGTCGCAGAAAAAAACAAGAAGCATAGGAACAGAATCCTGGATGGTGGCAGGAGTATGGAGACTTAGACTTTCATTTTCAAAAAGACAAATGGGGCCGGGCGCAGTGGCTCATGCCTATAATCCCAGCACTTTGGGAGGCCGAGGCGGGTGGATCACCTGAGGTCAGGACTTCAAGACCAGCCTGATCAACATGGCAAAACCCCGTCTCTACTAAAAATACAAAATTAGCCAGGCGTAGTGACGCATGCCTGTAATCCCAGCTACTAGGGAGGCTGAGGCAGGAAAATCACTTGAACCTGGGAGGTGGAGGTTGCAGTGAGCCGAGATTGCGCCTGGGCGATAGAGCGAGACTTTGTCCCCGCCCCCAAAAAAACCAAACAAACAAAAACAAAACAAAACAAAAACAACGGACAAATGATCAGGGTTTGAAAGAAAATAAAGCCACGCTCCTGTGTTCACAGTCAGCATGGCTACTTTGGAGGTAAGAGCTTTTTTCAGCTTTGTTCCAAAGCCTCCCCCAGAGGCCCAAGCCTGAGGTAGTTGCTGCATGGGATTTACTCTAACTCCCTTCAACAGTTTGAGAGAGAGGTTTTCACCAAAAATCTCACTATTTAAAGTTCACTGCTAAGTTCCAAATATTTCTGACTCCCAGGAAGGGGCCTAGGAAAATGATTGCCTTTTAGAGAGAGAGACTTGTTTAGGCCAGGTGCGGTGGCTCACTCCTGTAATCCCAGCACTTTGGGAGGCAGAGGCAGACGGATCACCTG